GAGGGGGGCGGCAGGGACGGCAGGAGTCGGGGAAAATCACCTAAGATCATTTCATGAGAAACCTCTAAGCACTACCAGTTTGGGAGGCATGGATCTTTCTAAAACTTCCTGTCCAAATTTTTCTGTCCAAAAATTTTTTTTTTTTTTTTGAGGTGGAGTATTGCTCTGTCACCCAGGATGAAGTGCAGTGGTGTGATGTCAGCCCACTGCAACCTCCGCCTCCCAAGTTCAAGTGATTCTCCTGCCTCAGCCTCCTGATAGCTGGGACTACAGGCACACCCAGCTAATTTTTGTATTTTTTTAGTGGAGACGGGGTTTCACCTTGTTGGCCAGGCTGGTCTCAAATTCCTGACCTCAAGTGATCCACCCGCCTTGGCCTCCCAAAATGGTGTGAGCCATTACGCCCGGCCAGGTCACTGACTCCTAAGCCTCTTCCTGTTCCTTTCCCTATACATTTGTTGAATGAAGGCTTGGTCTGGTTTTCTTCGTTTGGAAATGTCAGCATTTCTCTACACCTGCTCTCGAGTGAAGATCTACACCATGGGTTACTGTTGACCCAGATGTGAGGCATGGCCCTCCCAGGCCCTTGCTGTCTAGCTCAGGAGATCACTTGGGTTCACAGATAATTCTGGGGGAACCAAGGGTATGATTCCAAAATTTTTGATTGGGGGCAACAGGGAAGCACCCTGCAGCAGGTGGCTGTGATCTGGTTGGATTTTGGTGACAGAGCACACTTGGCAAGCAGACGGCCAGGTGAAGGTGAGCAAAGCGGATAACCCAGTGGGTAGCCTAGGGGAGGAGGGGTGTGTTTTCTCCACCCCCACGCCCGTCTGCACTTTTCCCATCAGCGTCTTTTTCAGCCTGCTCTGTGCTCCCCGACATCATCTCAGAATCTCCTTCCTTGTATACTCTTTTCTGACCCTGAATATCAATATGAATTAGAAAGGTCTGCACTCCTGCCTCTTTAGTAGTGATTTTTTTTTTTCCCATCAGCATCTCAGTTATTTGTGTTTCTCCCTGTCCCCCTGCTCAGCTCTCTTCTGCTTTCCAAAAAGCCTTCCATGGAAATGCGTCCAGATTTTCTCCCTCCTTATACTCCCCGAGGTTACCAGCGGCCCCTCCGTCCTTAAACCTGGTGCCCTGTGGCTGCAGCCGATCCTCCTCGAACCCTGCAACACTGGAGCCCATGGGACTTTACTCTTCATCCTCTCTCCTTTCGGTCTCTCCCTCTTGTCCCCTAATTTCAGCCTCCCCACCTGCATCTTATATC